TGAAGATATTATTTATTATTTAACACAATTTGCAGTGCATTCCTTGCAGTTTTTTCCAGTCAACACTAAAAATCCATTTGAAAAGTATTTTTTTTCTGATCTGGAAGCTTAGTAAGTATCTCGCATACCTTTTACTGTCTTACATGTTTATTGGTTGACCGTAACAGTAATGTGCCTAAATCAACAGAATTTTCATGCTTTTCATATTCTGAAATACTCATAATACCAGTTGATAGTGGGAGAAACAGAAATTTAGATGGACTTACTAAAATTTTAGAACATACAATATCAAACATGATATTTTCATCCAGAAAATTGTGAAATCTCAACATGGACAGAAACAGAAGGTGACTGATAAGCCAAGGCTACATACTATGTATGTTTTCCATTCATACACATAAGACTAAAATGCTTTATCCATCCTCAGAATAATCTTCAAAGTAGCGTGAGGAATGAGTAGTTTTAAGAAAATGAGAATTACAAAATCTTTGACAACTTTTGCAAACAACTCAATGATCTGTATCCAATTCTTTATTATCTTCTATAAGTGAAGGACTTCTACAGCTTTGCAGATAGTGGTGAAGTACCTCTACAAGGATTAATTAAGCTCAACATTTCTATTTCTATTTCAGCTCAACATTTCTATTTCTCTATTTTTCTGTTGCAGAAAAGTAAAATTTACAGGCATTTGTCTTTTTTTTTTTTTTTTTTTTTTAGATTTGAGTATGGAGATTACTTGATTTCTAGAAAGTTTTTTTAAATTTCCACAATACTGAACAGTCATTTCAACGAGGTTAGTGCCTGAAAGCACTGCTTTTTTAGAAATTCTAATTTAGAAATTATTGATAGCCCCTTCCAAGATTGTTTAGCCTAAAACTATATATATACAAGCCATAGACACAGGCCAAAATGGAGACTTGTGTGTTCCCACACACAAATGCAGTATCCTGCATTTATTTGACTCTTTGCAATCTTCGGGACCTTTCAGATTTTCTGTTTCTGTGGATTATATGCATCTGAAATCCTAGAATTACTCACTGTCAGAGAGAGGTGGGTGGTGTTTTGGAAATGAAACTCACAAATAATTTGTGCTGAACAGGTGGCCTCCATCTCAAAACTAGCCTTCTACAAAACCAGCACTGAAAGTGGGATCTGGACTTTATCTTTTAATCCATCTGTATTTTTAAAAATTATCCTCTTTTTTACTTTTTTTTCTTTCTTCCTCATTCCCCTTTAAGTTCTTTAGAAATACTCACAACATTTATCTAGCCATGGTTGAAGCACCAAAGCAGATCATACTGTAGGATTGTCATCCAGTATTAGGGACTATGTTAGTTAAGCTTCTCAGAGTGTAAAACTAAACAAAAGCAGTTTCTGCTCAGTGCTATATCTTCACACTAGCCACTAATTTCCTCACAGACTAATAGGCAGTCTTCTGAAAGTCTTCTAACTTACTTAAGCTAATCTAAAAATAGTGTCATTATGTCATTACTGGAATCAATTTATCTCATGATATATAAGGAAAAAAAAAAAAAAAAAAAAACAACCACAATGGTTGGTTTCAAATAAAGTCATTCAACAGTAATTTTACTTAAAATATCTTTTTTTAATTCCTAACTTTATTTCACAGATTGGAAAGCCTGAAATGAGCGAAGGAGATCATCTTGCCATTTGTGACACTTTTTTGTTTTTATCACTTTACCGTTTTTAGATTTCTTGAGACTGGCAAGAGTTTGTAAAATACACAGTTGTACACTTTTAATTTATGGTGGGAAATCTGAAAAAGGTACTTAAAAACATTCTCAAAATACTGAAGTTTCAGCCACATTTTTCAATTCCTCTCATCTCCTGTTTTCATTCCTGGGAAGTTACTCATCTGTAACAATCTTGCCTCTTAGACTTGATGCCTTGCTTAGGTCACACTTCCTTTCAAAGATGAGTACCAAAAGTAAAAAACTTGAAGTTTTTAAGGGAGCCTGTCTTTTGATAGCTCTTCATCTTTATAATAATTCAAAAATCTTTATTAGACTCAATGATATCTAGCAATCAGAACTTCGTATAACTAAATATTATCTTTTGTCAATGAAAGATATCTGTTACTAGCTCTCCCTCTTCTCTCCAGAGTTGGTGATTTTACATAGCAGTACATCGTACATACTTTTTTCTGTATTTCACAGCTTTCTCTCCTCATATGGAAATCGTTGCAGGTCTGTAATTATTTCCCTTATGCTATTCCACTCTGGATCATTTCCATTTCTGCTATATGCCTTGTGAAATTAGATGACCAATATTTAACAGTATAAGACAGAAGAGGTATCACTGATTTATGTTTCACATTTCGATATTCTCTACCTCCCAATAAACACCTCTTATGACATATTTTATGTGTTAAGCATAAGTGCATACATAAAGACTTCTGAAAGAGTAAATTTCATATTTTTGGTGAGAACTGTGAGTAGCCTTAATTGTATTTCCCAGCACATGTACTCTTCTATTTTCAACATATATTTGCATAGACTGAATCTGGTAGCAATTTTTACTATAATGATTTAGTTTTCTGCCTTCATTGGAACAGTCTCATACTCCAGGATATTATTTTAACTTAAGATGTCTGGCTTCTTTTCAGCCGTGTATATGCTTACCAGATACATTAATCAGCTCAACTTAGATAGTTAGTGGAAACTTTTCTGCAATTATTTCTTTGAAAATTTTCTCAAAAAATCATCCAAGGAATATTCTTACCATGGTGACACACACAAAAAAATTAATAATGTCCAAAACTGAGGGTGAGAGTTAACCAATTAGGATTACATTTCTGCATTTAGCCATGCTGAACACCTTTTACTTCCACATTTCCTCAGTTGTTTTAAAAAATAAAACTGCTGAAAATTCAGGTTTTCAGATGTCTGAATTTGGATCCAGGAGCCCAGCTTAAAACATCCACTTCTGAAATCCTCATTAGAAGTATTTATAAGAAGCATCTGAGGAAACTAATCTTAGAAAAAATGTGTTTTGTTTTGTTTTCTTTTTCTTTGAACCTAATTTGGAATACTTTGAAACTCTTTTTCTAATCTTAAAGAGAATTTGTAGTAAAGTTCCATATGAAAATAATATATACTTCATATTGATATTAATTTTAAAATACTCCTGAGCTCTATTAGAAAACCCTGAGCACAACTTTGCCAGGTTTCTTTGCCAAAAGATTGCAAAACGTGATAAATGAATTGCATTGCATCACAGTTTTTCTTTAGTGATATGAGAACAGCCTACTATGAAGGATGTTATTTACTTCAAAATGCTGGGGAACTGTCTAACAGAATAAGCAGAAGGGAACACTTAGAATAAATATGAAGAGGAAAAAAAAAGTAGTCTATCAACATGGGTCCAAGCAGGAAACACTTCCAAAGGATGAGATGTAATCCTCGCCACTGGAACTATTCAGATTTAAGCCACACAAGTTGCATGGGAATATGCAGCAGAGAGAAAACCCACACTGCATTGAGCTGAACAGCATGAATGATATGTTTTTCTGCCTATTAAACCAAACACTGAGTAACAATGCAGGTGAATTACTTTTTTTAATTTTTAAAAATTATTTATAGTAATTAGAGCTCTAGAATTACCAGGAGGAAACGAGCTGAGGACCTTGGAGTGCTGGTACTTAACCTCAAATAAACCTTTCTTTAACACTTCCACACTCACTGAATAACTAGCAGAACTTGTGCACCTACAATTATTCTGTGTTTACCCTGAATCTTTTCTCAGAAAAGGTTTGACCACCTCTTTGTCAACAAAGAGGTCTCTTTGATGTTCCTTTTCTCAACTTTCTTTCCTCAGTAGTAGTTTTAACCCACTACTTGGCATATCAGGCACAACTGTTTACCCCCTTTTAGTTGTTAATCTTAGCATATGACCTTTGCTGTTACATTCTCCCTTACATCTCTCATTCCCTCTATCCTATATAACCTTGCCCAATTTTTCGTAGTTATTCATGTGTTCTTTCCAGTGTCTCATTTTCATCCCTCACAGTGATCTTCAAGCAACATTAGTTTATTTCTGCCATCTTGGATAGTCCTGATGGAAGGAATGTCTGTAATTTTTTTAGCACTAGAAAACTAAAATTCCACCTCAATTTCTTTCTCAATGCCTACAAGAAATGTGTTTACTAACATAATCAAACTTGAGAACTGTCCTAGATGGTCAGTCATTCTTTTCTCTCACAAGATGTTATTTTTTTCTTTTATGTTCATAATGTGTTGTATGTACTCAGAAATAAACTAGATCTAGAAAAACAATAACAACAAAAAAAAAAATACAATCTTTTACTGTAAACAAAAACTTGTTCAGAGGAAGAACTTCTTTTGGATGGCTAGTGCACCTTAAGTGCCTACAACTGAATTCATCAGCTTTAAAAAACATTTATGTGTAAGGAATTCTGATTTACTTTCCTTTGTTTTCACTCCAGTAACTGTAAAGGAACTTGAGAGTTGACACCCATAAAGTAACCATCAGTAAATGCATTTGGTCAAAGCAGGAGACAGATGATCAAAGGAACAAAACCGTATTGATAGGGTGAGGTCAGTGGAATTTTGTCTTACAGCAGCTAAGGTTATGGTATAATAACTCAATGATACGAAATTTAAATAATAAAATATATGACTGTTGACAAAAGGGTTGACCTCAGAACTGTCTAAACATTATTTGATTGGTGGGTTCTTATCTGGTCTTTTGTTCTTGATTATAATCATGGAATCATGTGAGTTATTTTGGTTTGAAAAGACCCACAAAATCATCAAGTTCAATCATAACATTACTCTGCTAACTCCACCACTAAACTCTGTCCTTAAGCACCACATCTACACATCTCTTAGATACCTCCATGTTCTTCTCTTGCTTGGAATAAGCTCACTGAGTTATATTAAAAAAAAAAAATAAAAAATGCAGCATTTAAGAAAGAAATTTCCTAGTATATGTAATGTTTTATAACTCTGCTTTCTTACCTCCTTCCTTAGAACACAGGGTAATTAGAGTATGAACTGTATCCATCAATTCAAGCTGCTGCTTCTGCAGGACACTGTTATTAGTTGTTGCCTTGTTTAATTGCTTCTCTAGTTCCTGGATTATGTAGCTTTGCCGAGTGACCAAACTCTGTAGATTCTCTTTTTCCTCTTTCAAAGTGTCCATCTCTTCTTTATGTCTTTCTTCCATTTCTAAAATTTTGTGCTCAAGTAAACTAAAATAAAATAAAACATCAGCAGATGTTATTTCATGGTAACATTTTTCACAACACAGAAAGTAAAGCTATTTTATTTTCACTGTAGAATTCAATACATTAATTATTTATTCTGAAATTTCATAACTGTTAATTCAGCAAAACATTCTCCATCAAGTAGATAAATACGATTGATCTCTAGCATTCAATCTTGTAATTGTTTGCTTTAATACGGTGCTTAAAAATAAAGATCATGGAAATACATGTCTAGTTATTATAACCATCTGAGTGTATAAACATACAGAATGTAACAATTTTTTATTATAGGGGTTCAAGCAGAAAATTCTTATGTAGGCAAAAGGAGAAGTGAAGGGCCTTGAAGAAAATGTCATTACTAGTACGGGTAGTTGAATTTGATGAGAGATAAAAAGAGTAAACTAAATCTTTGTGAAGGGTTTTATGACAGAATGGAAGTAGGTAAGTACTAGCAGCTATCAAAGGATGTGAAACTCACAATAAAAAAAACATTCGATGTTCTCTGTGAAGCCAAGAATAGAATTATGTATCAGTTGAGTGCTATCTGCTTCCACATTTCACAGCTAACACCTGTCAACAGTGAACAAGAAGTTTTTTCAAGCCCTTGTTTTGATTCTGTGGTGATGCACTGGGTTAGCATAACAGAGTTTCGATAGCTAGGGATAGACTCCTCAAGAGTCCAGGAGCTGTCCCAGCTAACTCCAAAAGGAACCTACCTTTGTCCAGAGCTGAGCCAGTGAGCAACACTGGTTGTGTCTCTGGGAGAGTGGATTGAAAAAAGGCACAAAAGTAACTGAGAAGACTGAGAACATGTAGGAGAAACAGCAGTTCCCAGAGTCAGGGCAGAAAGGCAGGACGTGCTCCAGACACAGTGAAGAAGCTCCCAGAGCCCAGGAGAGGCTTGTGGTAGAGCATTTTGTTTCTCTGAAGCACCTGGGCATCACACAGAGCAGATCTCCACCTGCAGCCATGGAGAAGGCCATGGTGCAACAGTAAGAGTAGCCTGAAGAGCTGCAGCCTATGGAGGGCTCCTGCAGGAGCAGCCCGGGGCCAAAGCTGCAGACATGGAGAAAAGCCCCAAGTGGGTCAGAAGGGCTGAGGAACCTGCCACTTGTAGGGACCTGTGCAGGAGCAGGGCAGTCCCAACAAATGAACCACGTGGTATGTTCCCATACTGCAGCATTTCTTGAAGAGCTGCAGCCTGTGGGAAGCCTGTGGGATCAGTACAGAAAGAAAGGCATCTCGTGAGGGACTCTACAGTGGAGCAGAAGAGAATGATCATGTAGGAGGGGTAGATAACAGAGCATTATGCACCGAGCACAGATCACATTCCATTTCCCTACACTGCTCAAAGGGAGGAAGCAGAAGATGGTGATTGCAGTGGAAAGATTTTTTAGTTTGCTTTTACTTTCTCACCACTCTAGTCTGTTATTAATATAAAATGAAGAGAAAGCCTGTAGCATGTACCACGAGAATGTGTGGTAGTTGTTAGTTGCCCATCAATGGTAAAATACCACAACTGGGAGCTTAAGAGAAAGATTTTATTAATATCAGATAAATAAATAAATTTGTCTTCTCTGCTACTTTCTTCTGTTTGGTAATTCTACTGTAAATGCCAAAAGAGGTGTTTCTCATGCTCAAAACCAACTGGTTGTTACAAACTTCCCAACAAACTGCTTCCTGTCCAAGACAGTTCTAGATTTTATTTATTTGCACTCTTCCCCCACCTTTGTTTTTACTTCTGGGTAATAGATCAGTGGCAAAATGCCTGCATAATTTCAGGTCATTTAACCTAACTGAAGAATGTAATAAAATCCATATGGAGTTGTTTCTACTAGATATCACAGAGCCTTAATATAAGCTGCTACAAATGATAACAATGCAAGGATTAAATTCAGGTCCTGGATTTGCTGTACAAGCTGGAGTAATATAAAAGTTTTTTTTTTTTTCTTTTTTTTTTTTTCCTCACTAAATAAAGAAAATCAAACAGCAAATCTCTTTCTGAAATGTATGAATGTGGGACTCGCAGAGATATTGAAGAAAATATACTTTGCAAGATCAACATATCTAGTTCTGTGAAAATCACAGGGATCTGAGTGAGGAGGAAGAAATGAAAGGAGGGGGAGGGAAAACACTTTTTCAGCTTCATTCCCAAAAGCAAGGGTGAACATGATATTTCATTCTTAAAGCCTCATTAGTTGGTAACAAAAGCAGAACAAGAATTTCTGCACTGGAATTTGATAATAGAAAGTTCCAATATGAAAAATGCATGGATTTCAAAACCAAAGACGTTCAATTATTGTCACAACTTATCATACCCACAGATTTTTTTTTCATCATGTGAACTCTAATGTTAAATACAATACTTGGATTTTTGGAGGACGTCTGTGAAAGTCTTTGAGCTTTGTTATGCTCAGACTAACCAAGGAAGTTTGACGTGTTTGAAAATTTTATGATGACAAAGCTGTTTTAAGTCATAGATCACTATTCGATAAAATTACAAAATTTATATGCAAAATTTATTAGGTTTTCCCTATTTTCACAAAAATTATTAAAATGCTCCTTTTGACTCTAGATTTTAATTTTTCTGATAGACTGTGAGTTACACTAGTGTACTATAGATTGGATCACAAAGCAGTCCTTGGGCACAGTCTGTGTTTGAATAGGTGCTAGATATGGCTACCTCCCACTTTGACATCTTATTTAATATACTTTTATGACAAGGTTACCCACTTAATGAACAAAGAGAAGATAGTGGATGAGGGATTTCTATAGATTTGAACAAAGACTTTGATACTGTCTTTCACAGTATCCTTCTGGACAAAATGCCCAGCATGTAACTGGATACATACATAGTATCATTGGTAAACAACTGACTAAATGGTAGGACTCAAAGCATTGTAGCAAGTGGGACAGCTTGAGGCTGGTGGCATTGCTCCCCAGGGCTCAATTTTAAGGACATTTCTCTTGAAATTTTTTATCAGTGACCCAGACAATGAAGCTAAGTGCACACTAAGTAAGTCTGTGTATGGCACTAAATTAAATGATTCCCTTGAGAAAGATCTTGGTAGAACATTAGACAATAGCCAATCATATAAAATGTAATAAGAAATGTAATAGTGGATTATGCTTTTGGGATGGTGTAATCTGAGATATATGTTTAGATTGGGGGACAAGTGGCTGTACTGCTGTAGAGGGATTTGGAGGTTTTGACTGATGATAACCTCATTATGAGTCAACATTTCACCCTGCCAGCCAAAAGAGCCCAACTGAATTAAATGCATTAACTACTGTATAGCTAACCTGTCAAAAAAACAGTGATCGTCCCACTATATTTAGTGTTGGTTTAGCTTCATCTTAAATGCTGTGTGCTGCGCACACTGGGGCTCCACAGCGTAAGGGACAAAACTATTACGTGTCTAGATTTGGGCAAGAGCAATGGCAAAAGGTCTAGAGGGCATGACGTAGAAGTGCCTGAGGATACTTGGTTATTTGAGCTTAGAAGCAACTAGGGGTTGGTTTCATTACTTCTTCATGAAGGACAGGAGAAGGAGGTGCTGATTTCTTTTCTCTGGTGACAGACAGCAGAGCATTAGGTCTGAAAGCTGCATCAGGGGAAGTTCAGATTGTATATTAGAAAAAAATCTCTATTGAGAAAGTGGATGAGCCTGGATCAGGCTCTCCAGAGAAGCTGTCGCATTTGAGTCTGTTAAGAACTGTATAGATCATGTTTTTATGTATATGGTTAAATTTTTAGGTTGCCTTTTGTGGAGTCAGAGATGGATTTATGATTACCACAGGACCCTTCAAACTCAGGATATTCTATGATTCTTACAATCTGTGGAAAACATTCAGACAATGTGAAAAAAAAAAAGCCATATCCATATTACAGTACAGTTAAACAGTAGGTAAAAATAAAAATCCATTTATCTTTGTCCATGTCTCAGTACATGGCATCTCCTTAACTCTTGTCCACGTCCAAATTTAAATGATTTCCATATCTTAATGATTTCATTTCAAAGATAGACTTTGACAGTCACAATATGTGTTATTTGTTTCCTACCATAGCCCTAAGAACGCAGCAAACCTATGGAGATGGCAGTCTTATTTGAAATAACAGTGGACATGTCAAGCAAGAAGGAGGAAGCTGACAACGTTTAGAGCTTTCCATTTAGCATGTACAGAGACAGACAGCAAACAGATGTTTTACAGCTTTAGGAATAATATATCCTAATATTTATGAGTGGTGTTTTGAGAACATGTGGTGGAAAGAAGGGATTGTCAAGACTCTTGGTTTCTTTACAGTTTTCTATGTAGATTAAAATTCTTGTTATTATAAATTGCAAAACTAAGCTATTTTAAGGAATGCATATGCATTTATGCAATGATCTTTCCATAGCCACAAGTATACCACAGATAAGAGTAAGTTCTCAGGACAGGACCACTCCCTATATTCCTAGGAGAAATCCATAACAACTGCATTTAATTCGGTTTTACTAAGAATCAATGAGAAACTTATTAAAATCTCTGATGAACAAAAGCAAAAATTTAAATAAACTCGAGACTTTTGCACTAGCATGTTCCAAAAGGAAAAAAATTCTAAGCAGCATGAGAAAAGCTGCTCTTAGGGACTTTGACTCCAACAGGGACAGATTTCTTCGTATATCATTAAATTAATATATATTATAGCACATTTAAATAATAAAAAGTCTTAGAAACCTCATCAAGAAATCTTTAAACAGGTTGAAAGACATACATAATACATTTAGGATTTTTAAAAGGTTGTCAGAGCACTGTAATATGGAAATAAGAAAGAAAGAATAAAAAAACCTCTAATACTCAAATAGAATGACGAAAGAACTTTGTTGAGTTCTTGATTAACAAGTTTTATCCATTTTTCGAGACACGTTATGAAAACAGAGTTGAAAATATTTCTACTAGCTTTCATTAATGACTGCTATTGACATAAAAACTCACAAAAATTA